TGGGTGATCCTTTTTCCAACTCAGTGATTCTTCTTTTTTATTTTTTTCTGACATGTTGGTGTTATATCTTTCACTTGGATGTTATAAGTTGCACTGAGTAAATACAGCTGGATAAACCAAAAACTGTGTCTGTCTTCATTTCAGGCTGCAAAGCAACAAAATGTGATTATTGTAAAGGGGGTGATTCTTTTCTATACCCACTTTATATGTACGTTTTATGTGGTTCCATCTTCTTGTTAGCACCTTCATTTTGTACTTGTAACCCAAAGCACACAGCACAGCTAATGGTGCTCTTGAGTTTCCTGAAATCCTTTTCAGAGATACCTCTGAATATTTCTCGGCAATCTTATTTTTGAGAGTGTCTGTGGCAAAGCGTTGCTGATTTATCACGTCTGCCTTCACTTGAGGTTGTTTACAAAGAGAAGCCAACGAAACTCACCTGATTTAACAAGTAATCAATATGACAGGAGGGTGAGAGGGACACTATTGTGTGTGTTCGCAGCTCAAGAGTCATTTCAGGCCAATCAACCTGATATTAATATCTGTGGGCCAAATGATCATAGTGGCTTGTTTGCAAAGTCTTCACATTCTAATAAAGTTAACAGGTTGGGCCAATATGGGAATAGATGACCTTTCAGCAGATAGTGATAGATTAGACAGAACTGATATTAAATAAGGCTAGTTCGATGTGTATTGTATTGTATCATAACATATGAATGACCTTTTTTTTCCCTGAAAGGTTAGACAACAGTAGCAGACTCAGGTTCGACTTACGTGCATGCTCAAATCCCGTGCGCATGCGCTTGTAGAGTTTGCATCTCCACTCCCAAGCTTTGAGCTGTTTTTCCTTGTCAGATGTTTCCAGGCTGAGACTTTCTCTCATCACCTGGGTGGACAGCTCGCTGGCTCTCCTTTGGGCTTCCTGCACCAGCGCTGAGAGATGGGCATCTCTGCTCTCCAAACTGACAACTGAAACACAACACAGAGGTCTGGTAATGAGACTTTTCATTAATTCCAATGAGTATGATTTTTTTTAGCTTCTGGACAACCTTGCATTTCAGTTTAAAGGTGACATATCATGCAAATCTGACTTTTTCAGGTTTTAAGTGCTATAATCAGGTCCCCGGTGCATCTACCAACCAAGGAAACGTGAAAAAGATTAACCCAGTAACTTTGTTTTGGTAAACCTTTTTCTGCAAGCATCTGCAAAAACGAGCGCGTCTGATTTCGCTCCCCTAGTGACGTGGCAAAGGGATCTCATTATAATATCACCGCCCCTTAATCTGTAAAACGAATAAAAAAAAGAAGCTTTGTTTACCGTGGCTGCGGTCGTGTGAAGACCGAAGAGTGTAAAGACCATCGACTCTACCGTGCGACTCCACCGGGCAGGGACACCGGCAAAGGATAAGTATCGCTTTTTATTTCTCCTCTTTCCTACTATTTGTTTCACTTCTGTTTCAGTTTTTTTTATAACCATTTCTTACTATGTGTCAGTAAGTTGTTGTTATTTTAGCATGTGTGTTTGGCTCAGTGTTATTTTTTTTTAGGATTACTGATAAACTGGAGCGCCGGTTATGGCCGCCTGAGAGTAAGACGCGGAAAGCATCGCTCCCACAGAAAACGTCTCAGGTTACTTATGTAACCATGGTTCCCTGAGTAGGGAACGAGACACTGCGTCCTCTAGGGGTCGCTATGGGGGACGCCTCGTCGTGACCCGTGTCTGAAGCATACATTGAAAAAACACCAACTCGTTGGCCGGCGACAGCCATGACGTCACTACCGGTGCTGCTTCTCCAGGGGTCGTTTGGGAGTCACTCAAAGCTTACCTAAGGGGAATAATTATAGCATACTCATCTGGTAAAAAGAAAAAATATCAAAATCAACTGAATTTACTTTCAAAATACATTAAGAAATTGGAACTGGACTGTTCTGCATGTGGAGATGAAAATATGTATATGAGACTAAGATCATTGCAGCGTATGATCATTGTAGAGTATGATATGTTGTCCACCAATGAAGCAGAATGTGCCTTACTTAGATCGAAACAATGTTATTATGAGCAGAGACAGGCACGAAAAACAGCGTTTCTGCTTCCACTCAAAATAGGCATTTTCAAAATGATATGTGGACCACAAAACCAGTCATACGGGTCAATTTTTCAAAATTGAGATGCATAAATCTCAAGCTTTCCATTGATGTATGGTTTGTTAGGATAGGACAATATTTGGCCGAGATACAACTATTTGAAAATCTGGAATCTGAGGGTGCAAAAAAATCTAAATATTGAGAAAATCGCCTTTAAAGTTGTCCAAATGAAGTTCTTAGCCATGCATATTACTAATCAAAAATTAAATTTTTATATATTTACAGTAGGAAAGTTACAAAATATCTTCATGGAACATGATCTTTACTTAATGTCCTAATGATTTTTGGCATAAAAGAAAAATCTATTTTTTGACCCATACAATGTATTTTTGGCTATTGCTACAAATATACCCCAGTGACTTAAGACTGATTTTGTGGTCCAGGGTCACATATAATAAATTACCTGTCGGGTATTTTGAGCTGAAACTTCACAGACACATTCTGGGGACACCAGAGACTTATATTACATATTAGGTGAGGTGTAAAGTCAAAATGTCTTACTTCAAACCTGTATAGTGTAGAAAATACAGGTTCTCTGCTATGAAATGAAAATGAATTACACATTCGAGCTCTTGTACAATAGAGCACAACACTGGTCACCCATTTTCTCAGTGGCCTAGGTACTGGGATTTTTTTCTCATCATTTCCTCTGTGGGCAGTGAAAAGATTTTTCAATAAAGAGTTTTATAAGCCTTGAACCAAACCAACCAGCTCTGAGATGAATACAACATTACAAACTTTGACTGGAAGCAAAAATATTTGAAAACAGACACTAGATTGCATACTTAAATTCATTTATAAGGAAATGAAGCCTTCATTCCATGAAGTGTTGAGATTGATGTAATAAAAAAAAAACTATAGTACAATATATAATGAATGACTTTAAGTAAATAGTTTTAGTTATAAAAACAATATATTTTGAGTCTATGGCTAAATATATATGCATTTTGAGAGTGTAGGGAGTAGAAATTTGTATCCATGGTGACAGTGGTTTCTGATTGGTTTATCTCTCTTGAGGATTATGAGTAGTGTAGGTTTTTGAGCTATAATAAATAAATAAAAAGTGAAAAGCAACAAAAATCAAACAAAGCAGAACCAAATAAACAGAGCGTGGTTTACATAGAAAATGAACTCATCAAAACTCAGCAAGAAGGCTAACAAGAATATAGAAAACATGCAATAATAAACAACTACAAAGATAAACATAAACCAGTAAGCAAAACCAACACATGACAAATCAATAAACCAAAAGAAAAACAACCAGAATTCAAAACCAATAGAAAAACAACCAGAATTCAAAAGAAAGTGGAAGCAAACAGAGACAAGATACAAAACAATCTAGATAAACTTCAAAATAAGAGACAGATACAATTATTATGAGTAGTGAGTTCTTCACCAGAAATACAGCTATTTTTTTCTGAAATAATATTTAATTCACACTTGTGGCTTCTACAGAAGAATGTATCATAATTTAACAGCCTCATGGTAGCTCTGTCTTGAAGGGTTTATGCGTTACTGCTGAAAATCAATTTCTCTATGGAGACAATGACCAGGACATTTACTTCTGGAAACCTACTGTAGCATTACGCTCCATAACAAAAAATAAATAAAAATAAAAATCAAGTAAAATTGTTTCTTCACAATTTTTTTTTCAGTGTAAGCAGGGCATAATAGTTTTTGCTTGCAAATTCATTAACTTGTTTATAATCAAAACTGTAATGTGAAAAAGACATGCAGTAGCAGACTGATCAAATGTATCTCCAACTTACATAAACCAAAAATAAAAGTCCTGATTGAAATGACAGGAAGCCCATTACACTACCATTAATTCTCCAAGCTCACACCACTTGTGTCAGCATAGCAGTGTGGATGAATGTAGTCTACGGTCGTCTGGAACACACAGGACTGTGTTTGGCCATATAGATTTGTCATGTTAAAATGAATACTGCCTGACCAGTCCTCCTCATAGGCTGTGAATACTACTGCATTTTCTTTCAGAGCCTTAGTCATAGACCATGACAGCAAAATAAACAAATAAATACATGGCTGAAGAAACCCTCTTTCACTGGCCCAGCCTGAACCCCTGGAGACGGCAGCTCTCCGGGGGAGATGATAAAGTGCATGTTGTCAACTCGAAAAAAAGAGGGTCTAACCTAGCCGGTCTTACACGGGGGTCCACAGCGCAGTGGAAAAGGTAGCCATATTAGCTGCCATGAGGTGCAATTTCCTGCGCTCTGAAGATTGACATCTGGCTACTACATGCGGTTAATTGAACAAACTATAAATTAATGGGCAAGTCGGCCGAAATTGCACTGTCACACACAGTTGGCACTGTCGGGACTTTAGGACGGCCCGAAATATAGGCATTATGGGCCCCAGTCCTGCCCATAAACATGCTTTAACTTCAGCCTTTGGTCAGACCTCCAAACTGTCAGGCGTCTGGCTGATTGATTTACTTGGCATTTCTGGCCTGACATAAATATAATGCCGAAAGCCCAGGAGGGGAAAATACGGCAATGTTTATTTTCTGTTTGTTTACAAGGATTGGATTGTGCCACGATGAAATGTTTTGAAATTTAACTGCAGCCCGGGTACAATAAATCACTTAGTATAAATGCCCCCCGTTACATGCATCATTGGAAAAGTTAAACCATTAAACGACAAACCTTGTTAAGATTTTTCTAAGGGATGCCGTGTGCTGTCTACCCCACCCCGGCCCCGCTCAGACTGCAGTACAGTGCTCCCTGTTTGGTCTCAAACAACATTCGGCTTTTTCATGATTGCACTGAGCGCTCGGGACTGGAGGACTTTTTCCCCCCACGTCTTTCAAGGTAAGAAACACCTGTTCTACTGTTGCCAAAGACTCAGGGACTGAATATGCTATTGATTAATCTAAGGGCAATGGGTGCAGATATTTTTTAACAGATCTGTTCTTGATGCATTAAAACCTGATATCCGCACCCAGGTTGTCACAAAAATAGTTGAAAAAAAAATGCATGAATAACAACAATGATTGTTTTATTATAAGGGTACAGTATGTGACACTGTACAATGTTATTACCAAAATATTACATAATGAACGTAATTCATTAACTCATTAGTGGTCACGACAGATGTCATTAGATGTTTAACGTAGAATTATGAGTGCTTATGGCAGCTGTCATGGAAAAGTTTATTCTAGTATTCCTAGTTATATTTCATCACACAGTGTGTTTAAGTGTTAATAAATTGAATACTATGTACTATGTGTGTATGTGTATATATATATACTGTACAAGCATACAGTACTGTATTCATTTGGAATATATTTTATATATCAATATGCAACAGCTGACATTTAATGAGGGGACACAAGACTTAACACAGTAAATCAAATAAAATCTATAAAAACAAAAACATTTTTTTAAATGTTTTGTTTTCATCAAAAATGAGGACAATACATATTCTATAGCATTTTGGTGAAAACTACCTGTCACAACTGGTTGTAAACCACGCACACAACGAGGAAGATGACTGTTCAAACTGTCTTTAATAAATCCATAAGTAAATCCACACACTAGCAAACAAAGAAGCACAACCATACACTGACAACACTGGAAAAGGTGAACTGAAAACACAGGACTTTTTAGACAGACCAACGAGGTGATAATGAAAACACAGCTGAACGTAATGAAGAAATCAGATCAGTAACTATGATGACAAACAGGCAGGGAAATAGTGCAAACAGAAAACAACATCCAAACAGGGTGATATCGTGACACCACCATGTCAAATGTTCGTAAAGGACTAGATTAAATAATTGATTCACTCCAGTCAAATTACATTGTAAATCTCAAGAATGGTTTAGTGGCTCTTTAATAAGGAAACACTTTAGACACACTGAGGGAATTGACTGTTTAAAGCTCATCGCTGTTAAATATGCATACTCACAGTGAGGGCTCTCCTTCCCTCCAGCTTTGAGTAGCAGTTTGGCTATGGGGACGTTGTTGGTCATGATGGAGATGTCCAGAGGTGTCAGGCCTTCACTGTTGGGGGTGTTGAGGTCCAGTTCATCAGCTGTGTACTGAAACAGCAGGATCTGTACGGCATCCAGGTCCTGCTGTTCAACAGCCTCAAACAGAGCCTCACTGCTCTGAATGTTCTGTGAGGAGAAAAAACGGTTTGAAGGTAAGCAGCGGCTCTCATGATACTCTAAGTAGACATTTAGCTGACACTTTTATACACTGTAACTTGCAGAACACTTGTTACTGGAACAGTCCCCCTAGTGCACCTTTTGGTTAAAATCTCTGCTCAACTGTACAACAACAATGATTGTTAGAACAGAATCTGTGACTCAAAAGATCAATAGATGTCTTTAGTAATCAGAATGCCCAACATTTGATCAAATCTAAACAATTCCTCACCGCTTGCCTGTTCATTATATATATATATATATATATATATATATATATACCATTTGGGATCAGTAACATTTTGTTTTGAAAGAAATTAATACTTTTATTCTGCAAGGACAAATTAAACTGATCAGAAATAACAGTTAAGACTTTTACATTGTTAAAAAAAAAAAAAAAAAAAATTTAAATAAAAGCTGTTTTTTTTATTTTTTTTTCATCAAAGAATCCTGAAAGAAATATATCACAGTTTCCACAAAATCATTTAGCTGCTGTCTTCAACTGATAATAATATGAAATGTTTCTTAGGCACCAACTCAGGATATTACTGGCAATCATGTGACACTGAAGTCTGGAATCAATTACATTTAAAAATATGTTAATTTAATTTAATTTAATACAATATTTTAAATAGTAAAATAAATGTAGCCTTGGTGAGCATAAGAGACTTCTTTCACAAAAATTAAAATCTTACCAACCCCAGACTTTTGAATAGTAGTGTATATATTTTTTTTCTGATTATTATAATTGTATTTTGAATAAACAAAAATAGAATACTACTTTATATTGAAAAAATATTTACTGTTTTCAAACACATTTCGAATTCTCCCTTGTATGCAATTAGTTGGATAAACAGACTCATGCGATCTGTTTAGTCAATGTTGTATTATTGAGCTGGTTGGAATGCTTGATCAATTTTTTATTTTATTTTATTTTTTTGCAATGCACTGCATAGCCATGTTTATGGTCAGGAAAGTCAAGCTATGAATGTCTGTCTTATAGATGTTAATGCATATAACTGTTAACTGGGATTGCAGAAAATACTCTCAATTAATTAAAAAAAAACATTCACAGACTTTCACCAACAATCGGCACAGACAACATGAAAAAGAGCACAGATTGCCAATGGATGATTTCTCATGGGTTTGAATAACAACCTTACAATTACTAGCACAGGTCTGTAACCAGGCATGCACCAGAAACTACTAGCACCCCAATCAATGAATGCAATAATTATTAATAATTAAAATGTGAATTCACACATCTAATCTAACAACCACAGCAGCTGAGTTTCTACTCTTTAATTGTGAGTTAAATCCATGTATGAAAACATATGGAGGCAGCGAGGGTGAAAGATGTATTAGGGCACTTGTGTCAACAAGATGATTGCTAGATCTAGCTGTATATAATCAGTGATATTTGTGTAAGTTCTGAGAGCATGGCACAGCGCTGACAGACTCATGATCACCCGAAATGTCATTCCAGTTTTAAGCATGTCATGTGTACACTCTTAAAAATAAAGGTGCTTCACGATGCCATAGAAGAACCTTTTTGTCTAAATGGTTCCATAAAGAACCTTTAACATCTGAAGAACCTTTCCGTTTCACAAAAGGTTATTTGTGGCGAAAGAAGGTTCTTCAGATTACAAAAAGGTAAGAAAGAGATGGTTCTTTAAAGAACCTTTGTCTGAATGGTTCTTTGTGGAACCAAAAATGGTTCTTCAATTGCATCGCTTGAAGAACCTTTTGAAGCACCTTTATTTTTAAGAGTGTAAGGTAAAGTGAATGTTTACATCAATTGATTCTACAGTATACGTATAAATGTAAATGTTGACTAATGTCAGCTTTTTATTATAAGAAAAATTGTGAATTACTGATACCCATTTTTTTTATTTTCCAAGATACTCACAGATACTTTGTGGATACGGTCAGATCGACCAAAAAAGTAGGCATCCTCAAAGGAGGAGTGGCTCCCCTTGAGCTTCTCAGAGAGGTTTCGGTAGAGGCGCTTGGCAGCACTGGGGGAGGCGGGACCCGCCCCCTTCTTACTCTGCGTCAGCTGCAGGTTCTGCATTTGTTGGGTCATACTAATGGAGAAGTTCCTGTGGAGTTGAGAAGGGAAAGAGAACAGACAAAACACATTTAGGTGTGATGACTGTTACATCAGTGCTGTTAAGGGGGTGCACTCAAAATAAATTAATAGCATGTGTTTCGGTATGTAATTTATGACTAATATCTGAGTCAGTAGTGTCTTGGTGACAGATGGCCACTGGATAGTCATTAATTCCTCAGCTCAAGCAAAAAGTTACCTGCAAAATAACTGCATACTGATGCCCAGGTATTTTATTTTGAAAAGAAAAAGCAAATATGTGACCTCCAAATAAACCTTTCTGATATCTACTGTACACTATTGTCTGAAAGTTTAATTTCTTTTAAAGAAATTAATACTTTTATTCAGCAAGGATGCATTAAATTTATCAAAAGTGACAGTGAAGACATTTACGGTGTTACAAAAGATCTGAATCCTGAAAAACTGTATTACCTTTTCTACAAAAATATTAAGCAACTGTTTTCAATTGAGATAATAAGAAATGTTTCTTGAGCAGCAAATCAACTCTTTTTATCATGTGACACTGAAGAGTAATGGCTGATGAAAATTCAGCTTTGCCTTCACAGGAATCAATTACATTTTAAAATATATTAAAATAGAAAATAGTTATTTTAAATATTTCACAATGTTACTATTTTTACTGTATTTTTAATCAAATAAATAAATTTAAAAAAAGCTTTGAGCATTAGAGATTTCATAGGCATAAGCTGCATTCCTTCAAAAGAATTTAATAAAAAAAAACTGACATTAATTTCATGACATTATTAGTCAACATCAAAACTGATATCTCTCAACGATCCATAACAGACAATTTTATTAACAATGGCAGCCAGACCAAACTGATATAACGGCAATTCGTACATATTTTACTAGGTGGCTAATTCGTACGACCTCACTCGTCAAATTTGTATGATTTGTGAAAAATCTTACATATTTTACGAGGTGGCAAATTCGTAGGAATTTGTATGAAGGACTACCCCTAACCCTGCCCCTAAATCTTCCCCTTACAGAAATCATACAAAAATTTGTATGAATTAGCCACCTTGCAAAATACGTACAAATTGGTCGTGAGATAGCATTGGCCAGACCGTGGCCATCACTGCAGGACAACATAGTCTGGTTATCAAGGATATCCTCAATGTTCTTATACTATAATGAAATCCTCCAGGAAATCAATTAATTCTAAGCTAACAATAACAGTAAACTCAGACAGTGAATTTATAGTAGCTGTTGAGAGAATCCAATTTATTAAGGAAAAAACACAACATACAGTATGTAATATTTGTTTTGCTGCATTCCAAAAATGTATATATTTGTGAAAGAATATTCTGAACACTGTTCTGATTTCTCATCTTCATCACCTAGTAAGTTATCTGTAGTTTATGTAACCACAGACAAGTAGCACCTCTATATCAACCATCAATCACTCCATGACGTGTACTAAAAACAATTCCTATAAATGCCTGAATAAAAGACAAGATCTGCTACATTTGTCAAAACATCTGGTGCGAGTACACACTGTCTGAACGGAGCAAAAAAAAA